TATCTTCTCTCTGCCCTCTCATATCTTCTCTCTGCCCTCTCATATCTTCTCTCTGCCCTCTCATATCTTCTCTCTGCCCTCTCATATCTTCTCTCTGCCCTCTCATATCTTCTCTCTGCCCTCTCATATCTTCTCTCTGCCCTCTCATATCTTCTCTCTGCCCTCTCATATCTTCTCTCTGCCCTCTCATATCTTCTCTCTGCCCTCTCATATCTTCTCTCTGCCCTCTCATATCTTCTCTCTGCCCTCTCATATCTTCTCTCTGCCCTCTCATATCTTCTCTCTGCCCTCTCATATCTTCTCTCTGCCCTCTCATACTTCTCTCTCTGCCCTCTCATATCTTCTCTCTGCCCTCTCATATCTTCTCTCTGCCCTCTCATATCTTCTCTCTGCCCTCTCATATCTTCTCTCTGCCCTCTCATATCTTCTCTCTGCCCTCTCATATCTTCTCTCTGCCCTCTCATATCTTCTCTCTGCCCTCTCATATCTTCTCTCTGCCCTCTCATATCTTCTCTCTGCCCTCTCATATCTTCTCTCTGCCCTCTCATATCTTCTCTCTGCCCTCTCATATCTTCTCTCTGCCCTCTCATATCTTCTCTCTGCCCTCTCATATCTTCTCTCTGCCCTCTCATATCTTCTCTCTGCCCTCTCATATCTTCTCTCTGCCCTCTCATATCTTCTCTCTGCCCTCTCATATCTTCTCTCTGCCCTCTCATATCTTCTCTCTGCCCTCTCATATCTTCTCTCTGCCCTCTCATATCTTCTCTCTGCCCTCTCATATCTTCTCTCTGCCCTCTCATATCTTCTCTCTGCCCTCTCATATCTTCTCTCTGCCCTCTCATATCTTCTCTCTGCCCTCTCATATCTTCTCTCTGCCCTCTCATATCTTCTCTCTGCCCTCTCATATCTTCTCTCTGCCCTCTCATATCTTCTCTCTGCCCTCTCATATCTTCTCTCTGCCCTCTCATATCTTCTCTCTGCCCTCTCATATCTTCTCTCTGCCCTCTCATATCTTCTCTCTGCCCTCTCATATCTTCTCTCTGCCCTCTCATATCTTCTCTCTGCCCTCTCATATCTTCTCTCTGCCCTCTCATATCTTCTCTCTGCCCTCTCATATCTTCTCTCTGCCCTCTCATATCTTCTCTCTGCCCTCTCATATCTTCTCTCTGCCCTCTCATATCTTCTCTCTGCCCTCTCATATCTTCTCTCTGCCCTCTCATATCTTCTCTCTGCCCTCTCATATCTTCTCTCTGCCCTCTCATATCTTCTCTCTGCCCTCTCATATCTTCTCTCTGCCCTCTCATATCTTCTCTCTGCCCTCTCATATCTTCTCTCTGCCCTCTCATATCTTCTCTCTGCCCTCTCATATCTTCTCTCTGCCCTCTCATATCTTCTCTCTGCCCTCTCATATCTTCTCTCTGCCCTCTCATATCTTCTCTCTGCCCTCTCATATCTTCTCTCTGCCCTCTCATATCTTCTCTCTGCCCTCTCATATCTTCTCTCTGCCCTCTCATATCTTCTCTCTGCCCTCTCATATCTTCTCTCTGCCCTCTCATATCTTCTCTCTGCCCTCTCATATCTTCTCTCTGCCCTCTCATATCTTCTCTCTGCCCTCTCATATCTTCTCTCTGCCCTCTCATATCTTCTCTCTGCCCTCTCATATCTTCTCTCTGCCCTCTCATATCTTCTCTCTGCCCTCTCATATCTTCTCTCTGCCCTCTCATATCTTCTCTCTGCCCTCTCATATCTTCTCTCTGCCCTCTCATATCTTCTCTCTGCCCTCTCATATCTTCTCTCTGCCCTCTCATATCTTCTCTCTGCCCTCTCATATCTTCTCTCTGCCCTCTCATATCTTCTCTCTGCCCTCTCATATCTTCTCTCTGCCCTCTCATATCTTCTCTCTGCCCTCTCATATCTTCTCTCTGCCCTCTCATATCTTCTCTCTGCCCTCTCATATCTTCTCTCTGCCCTCTCATATCTTCTCTCTGCCCTCTCATATCTTCTCTCTGCCCTCTCATATCTTCTCTCTGCCCTCTCATATCTTCTCTCTGCCCTCTCATATCTTCTCTCTGCCCTCTCATATCTTCTCTCTGCCCTCTCATATCTTCTCTCTGCCCTCTCATATCTTCTCTCTGCCCTCTCATATCTTCTCTCTGCCCTCTCATATCTTCTCTCTGCCCTCTCATGTCTTCTCTCTGCCCTCTCATGTCTTCTCTCTGCCCTCTCATGTCTTCTCTCTGCCCTCTCATGTCTTCTCTCTGCCCTCTCATGTCTTCTCTCTGCCCTCTCATGTCTTCTCTCTGCCCTCTCATGTCTTCTCTCTGCCCTCTCATGTCTTCTCTCTGCCCTCTCATGTCTTCTCTCTGCCCTCTCATGTCTTCTCTCTGCCCTCTCATGTCTTCTCTCTGCCCTCTCATGTCTTCTCTCTGCCCTCTCATGTCTTCTCTCTGCCCTCTCATGTCTTCTCTCTGCCCTCTCATGTCTTCTCTCTGCCCTCTCATGTCTCTCTCTCTGCCCTCTCATATCTTCTCTCTGCCCTCTCATATCTTCTCTCTGCCCTCTCATATCTTCTCTCTGCCCTCTCATATCTTCTCTCTGCCCTCTCATATCTTCTCTCTGCCCTCTCATATCTTCTCTCTGCCCTCTCATATCTTCTCTCTGCCCTCTCATATCTTCTCTCTGCCCTCTCATATCTTCTCTCTGCCCTCTCATATCTTCTCTCTGCCCTCTCATATCTTCTCTCTGCCCTCTCATATCTTCTCTCTGCCCTCTCATATCTTCTCTCTGCCCTCTCATATCTTCTCTCTGCCCTCTCATATCTTCTCTCTGCCCTCTCATATCTTCTCTCTGCCCTCTCATATCTTCTCTCTGCCCTCTCATATCTTCTCTCTGCCCTCTCATATCTTCTCTCTGCCCTCTCATATCTTCTCTCTGCCCTCTCATATCTTCTCTCTGCCCTCTCATATCTTCTCTCTGCCCTCTCATATCTTCTCTCTGCCCTCTCATATCTTCTCTCTGCCCTCTCATATCTTCTCTCTGCCCTCTCATATCTTCTCTCTGCCCTCTCATATCTTCTCTCTGCCCTCTCATATCTTCTCTCTGCCCTCTCATATCTTCTCTCTGCCCTCTCATATCTTCTCTCTGCCCTCTCATATCTCCTCTCTGCCCTCTCATATCTCCTCTCTTCCGTCTCATACCTCCTCTCCGCCCTCTCATACCTCCCCTCCGCCCTCTCATACCTCCCCTCCGCCCTTCCATATCTGCTTCTTCTCTCCTCTTCTCTGCTCATCATCTCCCGTGTTCTCTTGTCCTCTGCAGCAGCTCACATGATGAACGCAGCGAATGGCGACGACACGATGAGAAGCACGACTCACCGCACGGCCCACCGTAGCATGCTGAAAGACTCGTATGGAGCTGAAGATGAGAAGGCTGCAGAAGGCACTGTGGCAGCAACGGCCAGCAGGAAGGTCACTGCGAGGAGGGTTGTGCTACAGACCAGCGCCAAGAGCACCACTGTCAACAGCAGCACTGGAAGCAGTGTCAATACCAGCAGTGGTTTACCCCTGCGGTTCGCCACAACCGTGGCTGTGGGCAAGGCTCGGCTGAGCTTCGGCACGCAGCGCTGCCTGAATGTGTCTGAGAAGGCGCGGGGGAAGAGCGTGAAGGTGTGGTGGAAGGGGTCTAGCAGCAAGGCGAAGGGGTTCCCGTGCTCGCAGGTCAAGTTCTTTGACCAGAGCGATTGTGAGGGCAATGTGCTTCACAGCATGGCCAACCTGAGCGCTTCTGCTGCGGCCAAGTGAGTGGCGGTGGGTGTGTGTCAGTGTGTGTTTGGGTTGTATGGCCGTGTGTGTGTGAAGGCACGACGCTAAGGCTTTCTGCATCGATGCACTTTTGAGGCGCCTCAGAGGGCCATTTCATGTGCTTCCACTCCGCTTGCCACGCCCTGCAGGTTCCCCAGCACAAAGAAGACGCTCAGCCAGTGGGCTTCCGTGGCCTCTATGCTTTGCTCCGATGCTCCCTGTGACGTGTTATTTCAGAGGCGTCTCAAAGGCCATTTCCTGTGCTTCCGTTGCAGGTTCCCCAGCACCAAGAAGACCCTCAGCCAATGGGCTTCCATAGCCTCTATGCTTTGCTCCAAAGCTCCCTGTGACGCTTTGGAGGTTCAAAGACCATTTCCTGTGCTTCCATTGCAGGTTCCCAAGCACCAAGAAGACGCTCAGCAATTGGACCTCTGTGGCCTCTATGCTTTGCACCGATGCTCCCTGCGAGGCCTTGGGCTGTGAGCCTGGTGGCACGTGTGTGGTGGATGAAACCGGAGAGCGCTACTGCGAGTGGAGTGAGTGACCAAGCGCCTCAAGAGTGCCTCTTATGCTTGGCGTCAAAATTGCCTTCCTTGGCGTCAAATTTGCCTTCCTTGGCGTCAAAATTGCCTTCCTTGGCGTCAAAATTGCCTTCCTTGGCGTCAAATTTGCCTTCCTTGGCGTCAAAATTGCCTTCCTTGGCGTCGAAATTGCCTTCCTTGGCGTCAACATTGCCTTCCTTGGCGTCAACATTGCCTTCCTTGGCGTCAAAATTGCCTTCCTTGGCGTCAAAATTGCCTTCCTTGGCGTCTGCCTTTGTGCGTTGATGCTCCCTGTGACGCGTTGGGCTGTGAGCCTGGCAGCACCTGTGTGGTGGACGAGAAGGGTGAGCGCTACTGCAAGTGGGGTGAGTGCCTTTCTCCCCCTTGCGTCTCCCTTTGCATTTTGCCTTCCCCAGCCCCACCCTGTGCCGCCTGCCTTTCGGATTCCCCAATTTTTCACTACATACCGTATTGCACCCATCCCCACCCCTCAGACTCGCCCTGTGGTGCCTGCCCCACTGGAGCCACCTGCAAGACCGTGCCTGGCGGCTGAGACTAACAACAGTGCGGTGCAGGTGCCTTATAGGTGACTGTGCTAGTAGGCTGAGGCGCTTCAGAAATCATACCGCACTGCACCCAACTCCACCCCGCCCCTCAGACTCACCCTGTGGCGCCTGCCCCACTGGAGCCACATGCAAGACTGTGCCTGCGACCAACAAGCCTTCGGTGCAGGTGCCTTACTGCGCGTGCCCTGAAGGCTATAATATAACCGCGACCCAGTGTGTTGCAGGTGAGATTGTTTAACGCATGCTCACTCTACTCGACCCTCGCCACTTCGCATTCTCCGCACTCTCCTCTCTCTCCTCTCCTCTCTCAACAATACTCGCCCCACTCCCCTCTCGCCCCACTCCCCTCTTTCCCTATTCCCCTCTTGCCCCACTCCCCTCACGCACCCACTCCCCTCTCCCCCCACTTCCTCCTCTCCCCTCTCGTCCCACTCCCTCCTCTCCTTTCTTGCCCTGCTCCCTCCTCTCCCCCACACGCCCCACTCGCTGTTTCCCTTTTCTCCCTTCTCGCATGCTGGGTGAGCGGATAATGCTGCTTTTTGTTGATGCTATTGTGAATGCATGTATGAATGTTGATGGTATATGTATGGATGGGCAAGGCATGGAAGGTGCAGACAATCTATGCTCTGTGACCTTACGTGTGCCACTCTTTCTCAGGTGGAGCTTTCAAAGTCTCTTCTGTCTTTCTCTTCTACCAACCACACACTCCTCTCCCTCTCCTCTTCTTGCCTCACCCTTTCTCACGTTGAGCATCCAACGTCTCTTCTGTCAGCTGCACACTCCTCTCCCTCTCCTCTTCTCGCCCCACCCTTTCTCAGGTGAAGCATCGAACGTCTCTTCTATCAGCCTCACAGCCATCGCAAATCAAACAGCCAAGAGCAACTCTTCTCGACCTTTTTTTCAGGATCCTTGAGAATATTCGAATATTGCGCTGACTCCTTCCTTGTGCCAATCTCTCTCAGGTGAAGCATCCAACGTCTCTTCTATCAGCCTCACAGTCGTCGCAAATCGAACAGCAAAGGACAACTCTTCTCGACCCGTCACCTTCCGTCTCAACCTGAACAGCTGCACCCAGTGGCCGGAAGCATTGGCTGGGGAGGGCGTGACAATCTATCGTGTTGAGAATACAAATGATGCTCCAAGTTGCTCCAGCTGGAAATTCTTCTCAAGCGACCAGTGTGAAGGCGATATTGTTGACGAAATTTCCCCCAATACCCGTCGGTTGTTTTATGCATTTTATCAACGGTAAGTGATCGACCTTTACCTGCACAACTTCTCCACTTCCCCCTTTCTAACCAATCACCAGTTTAACATTTTCTGCATCATCTTGTTATCTGTGTCCTCCCGTTGTTACCATTAAGCAGGGACACAAAAGCTGCTTTGGTTTTCCGCTCAATGTGGTGCGCTCAGTAGGATGAGCAGGACAGCTGCTGCATGGTTGGTCTGCATGGTTGGTCTGCAATTTGAGTTGACTCAAAGCACGATGCAACTGTGTTGAATATCCGCTCAATCTTCTGCGCTCAATTTGCTGCGTTCAATCTGGTGCGCTCAATCGGTGATGACTTAAGACGGCTGCAGCGTGCATGGCTGGGGCTGTGCTGCTATCTGCACAAGCTTGGTAATTTGGATGAGTTTCTGGACTGCTTCTCCCTTCCATCCACTCGTTGCAATTTGCAAACCCTTTTCCCCTTCACTCTATGAAGACCCTTCTTCCCTCCGTCCTCTCAATGGAGATCCAGAGTAAAAAGCTACAGTGGAAACTCGGTGTGGAATGCTCTTTCTTACCATCGCGCCTGTCCTATAGTTGTCATGCTTGAAAAAATGCACTAGAGCTGTATGTATGCATAGTGTATTGTGTATGGAAAGTTCAAAACTATACCGTAGCCTTAACTGGATTTTACGGTTACTGAAACCGCATTCACGAAGTTGAGTACCGTACTGAAGTGGCCAGTAGCAGCTTGGTAACGTACTAATGCTCGCACATTGATTGAGAACTCATGGCCTTGGGACATTCATTCTCAACAAAACTGCAACCACATTAGATAGAAACTACTGCTAGCAGAATCACAAAACCCGCTAATCTGACCAATCTCATTCGTCTTATGGCAGTGCCACCACTGTAGGGTTTCCCAAACACACAAGCTGCGTTACAGAGTTGCAACAAGCTGCCCCTGTGGTCTGTTTGCAAGCCACTGGGTAGACACAGGGGTGGGGGTGCAGGGGAAGCAGGGTGTGAATATAAGGTGCCTAACAAATGTGTAACAAAGGAAGCAGGGGCAGAGATACTGTATGACCAGAGAGGGAAGGTGAGGAAGAGAGAGGAATTGAAAGTAATACCGGTACCATAACAGAACGGAATTTTGAGAATTCTCAAAAAACGCTCACAAGTAACGGAAAGGATTTGGGACAAGCACCAACAGAATCAAGAGCATGCGAGAGGGAATAGCCTTCTTGAACAAAAGACACCCTGTATGACACCCGATATGACACCCAAGACGTGATGTGACACCCAGAACGTTTCGTAACTCAGCACTCACCACAACTGGTCGTGCCTTTCACAGCAGTGAGGCCCCACTCGCACCCGTCGCATATCCACCCTCGATTCGGCGCCAGATCCAACGGCTGTACACTGCTTGGCGGCCACCGGCTATACACCGGCATGCACGCTTTCCCCTCCGCCTCACACTTAGTTAAGTTCCCACCGCACACCGCCGCTCCGCAGAACATAGGGTTTCGCTGCACCATGTAGCTTCTGGGGAGGCCCTTGCACGTGCCCGTGTATTTTCCGGTGTAGGAGAGGCAGTTTCCGCTGACATCGCATTGGGAGGGGACGGGAGGGGGAGGAGAGGGCGGGGGAGGAGGGGAAGGGGGAGGAGGCGGAGGCGGGGAGGGGGGGGGAGGCGGAGGAGGGGAGGCGGAAGAGGAGGGGGAAGAGGCGGAGGGGGAAAGGCCCAACAGTCCCCAGTGGATGTCTCTGTCGTTTGTGGGAGGAGAGGGAGAGGAAGAGAGGAGAGGGAAGTGGGGGATGGAGAGAGAGTGGGGAATGTATTTTTGAGACGCCTCAAAAACAGACCCCAGTGGATGTCTCTGTCGTTTTGTGGAGAGATGGGGATGGGCGAGGAAACGCAGAGGGAAGGGGGAGGAGATAAGCGATGAAGTGTGAGGAGGAAGAGAAGTGAAGGAATATTAGAGGAAAGGCGGGAAGAGAAGAGTGAAGGGGGAGAGGACGTGGAATGGGGGGGAGGAGGAAAGCAATATCAGGAGGATGTCACTTTCCACAGTGGGAGAGGAAGAGGAGCAAAAACGAAGAGGAACAAAAACGAACAAGAGCGGGAAGGAGTAGGGAAGAGGAATGAAGAAAGAGGAAAGGAAGCAGTGAAGGAAGAAGAGGGGGAAAGGAAGTTTCCCACCAACTCACATGGCGATCACATTGCCATTCTCGTCGCATTTCAACTTGCGGTAGAACCGCCCCAGCCCATCGACAGAGCAAGAGGCGCCCTTTCCTAGCCAGCTCACACCACACCGAATCCCCTCATCGTCCATCACCGGAACCGTCCCAACTCTCCTCTCAGCAACTCACATGGCTATCACATTGCCATTCTCACCGCATTTCAATCCTCAGTAGAACCGCCCCAGCCCATGATCAAAGCACGAGGCGCCATTTCCGACCTCACTAGCGGGATCCACCTTCCCTTCCCCCGGATCCGCGAAAACTCCCCCGACCATCCCTTCCCCGTGCCCCCCGCGCGCTCCCCTCGCCGTAAGCGCCGTCCATTGCCGACCAAATTAATGAGAGTCACCGACACAGAACGGGATCGGTAACCTGCACAAAATTAGGAACTTGATCCGCTTCTGACAATTCTTCACAAGCTAAGAAGCTGATCTAAAATGAAGGGTACAGCGGACCCTACGATATTTAAAAAACTCACCTCCGTAAAGCCCGAAACTCCTAGGCAAGATTGATACCGCGGCTCCACCGCTTAGCAAGAGCAAGAGCGTTCTTCCTACTGTTAAACAGAAAAGCGGTCACGCCTTTTTAAAAAACGAGGGTGGACCGAAGTCGCCGTCCAAATGAACGACAAATGCGAGATGACAAGCCTGGAAATTGAAGAACACGGAAAGAAGAGGTAATGAAAGAGAACAGGTTCTTTCTGTTGTGTGGTGGTGATGTGCTGGTTGCTTGGCCACTGGGGGATTCCTTGGTGACTGATTTCGCTTGTAAGAGCGTGTTACTTTTTGAGGCAACCAGGACCTGGCACCAAAATTAGGGGTACGTAACACGCTCGTGCGGTTTGGCGGATCATAGAATGCTGGTTGCAGTAACTGGCGAAGATATCGACAGGATTTGGGATTTACGATGAGGCACCGAACTTTTAGGCGAAGCTTGTTACCATGAAGGTCTGCGGAATTGAGCGGATAGGATGGAATGATGTGGTGCCCACGCGATTGGTCACGTGTGTTCCAATCACCTCTCTCGAAGGTGGTGATGTCAGAGTGTAACGCGCCAGCGAGGCCCTCTGCGAGCTTTGCGAAGCCAATTTCGCGTTACCTTTAGACCGATCCCAATTTCTCTCTAGCCCCTGACTTTCATGTTTTTGGGTTGCGAAGCAACCCTTTACGATCGATTTGGACAGATTTTTTTTTTCACATTATATAATTTATTTATAATACAATGTGAAAAAAAACTGGGTGCACTAGTTGCTAGCTACATAACGTGTACCATAAGTTTTATCTAATTCAATTACGATGTGATGGTTCTGACCGCACTGCGTCATATTTTTGTATGTTGGATGATTAGTGGTAATTACGTGACTGTTATGAAATGAATATATTATGAATCGTACACATATGCTTAAATGAATATAATAATACATGCTTGCTTGAATATAATGATACATGGTCGACTGAATATAATAATGCAAATGATATAAATGCATTATGTGATGATGATAAAAATGCTTCAGTATGCATAATGTTGGATGTTAAAATGCATGCATACCGGTATATGATATAAATGCGTGACAGCTAACGATCCAAAAACTATGCTATCGCATCCCCTGCCTAGCATGGGGGGGAGCTAATAGCATAATCCTTGAACAATCAGCAGTCACATGAAACAACACAATCTGTGAACTCTAAAAAGATGGTCAACTCTATCATCTCTGTCAGAAACTAGCAGCAGGAATGAGTGAAATAACAGGATAAAGGAGTACAAGTAGTAAAC